AAAAGTGAAAAATTTAAATTCTGAAAACCTTTCCAGTGTTACCTGGGGAAAACGATTATCTAACAAGAAAATTATGATTTTTTTGATCCAGCACCGAGTTAGCGAGGGGCACTGCAATTCTACTTTTTTCCGAGACGATTCCGTATTTTTTATTATTTCTACATGAAAATTTGACACAATTTTCTTTGAGTGTTATACTTTAATGTACTATTAGTTTAAATAAACAGATTTTAATTGTGTTGTCAAAAAAAATTCACAAACATAATTTCTGGAAATCTCTGGTGTCAATGGCTTATTTAAATTCAATTTTTTTTTTGAAGAAGCAATAATAATCATTTCATTTTAGTATAAGGTAAAGTTTTATGTTGGTTCAGAATAAAAAATAGTACGTAAACCATGACAGTAAAATGGTTTTCCAGCCCTCGCAAAGTGTCCAGGCTCGACTTCGCCTCGCCTTTCCATATCTTTAGCCAGCCTGGAAAACAGTCACTTTACTGCCTAGGTATACAATATACTATTAAAGTAAAGCGCCTCTGCTACCTAAACATACAGTTTTATTTTCAGTTTACTTTTAATACTGCTGGCGATATTTTTTTGCAATTGTCAAATAGTAGTCCATAATCTACATGTACATCAAATTTAAAGAGAAGTATTTATAATTGAACAAAAAAACTAAATAAACTATAATTCTGCCGTGTTAATTAAATGCCCGTATCTGTTTAATACTTGAACGTTAGAAAAATCGATTTTTCAAGAAAAATCACTTACGCCTAAATTTCTAAGCGTTAAGACCACAGTACCACCCCCAATATTCGTAACATGAACTAATTTTGATAGATGTCATTTATGTGTCATAAATTAAGAATCCTTTTGTTTAGCAGATGGAGCAATATTCCATATTTAATAGTTCTTTTGTTCAACAGATGGCGTAATAATTTTAATAATTTTAAACGGTAACTGTTATAAAATAACAAATTCATCACGCCTAGCTACTACGCGATAATAAGTAAACGAGTTCTTGACCTTGACAAATATTTTCGATGTAACAGGTAAAAAATAAAAGTTTGGGATTAAATTCGACACATCGGTATATTTACTTAGGACCGATTCCACCGTTGTGTTAAAGGGAGTTTAAAATGATATTTTTACATTAACAATGTCATTTTAATTTAATTTAATTTAATCTAATTTATATGTAAGTTGGCGGCATCGGCATACGGAAAACGTTTTTAAGAATTTTAAGAAAAAAACTTATTTTTCATAAACAATTGCATGGTCTATTAATTTTAGAAAAAAAGTTACTTTACATAAAAAGTTATGCATGGTCTAAAACCTAAAATTTAATCATCTGATAACAAATTTTATCAGTCGTATACAGTGTTTGTCGAAAATAAAGGTATTTTATATTGAGCAAAATTATATTTTTTGACAAACCTTGTAAAACCGACTGATAAAATTTGATATCGGGTGGATGCATTTTCTGTTAGACCATGCATACATTTTTATGAAGAATTACTTTTTTTCGTAAAATGAATACCTAATAAAAAAGTTTTCTATTTGCTATCAACTTACATAGACATACTGTGTGTATGCAACTTATGACATTATGTTTTTGTAAGAAAAAAGAAATTAATCATAAAATTTTACTTCATTTGTAGAGTCGTAATTTATGTTTTCATATTTGTACTTTTTTTTATCAATTTAGAATTACAGTACTATTTTCAATTATTATTTTAGATTAATCAATAAGAAAAATTAGCATTTTTGAAATATTAATAACTAAATACAAATTAAACAACAAATGAATAAAAAAGCATTTAAAACACGTTGACTGCCGAAGCAAATGTTGTGGTCGGGTCGGCTGAGCCGAAGCAGTTTTTCTAAAAATTTAAGTCTCTTTTTACGTTTTAAGAGCAAAGTAGTTTAAGTAAATACTCAAGTAAACTACAATATCTAATAGAAGCGTGAATAAAATATATAAACGCGGCGCGGTATTAAATTATTACATTGTTCAATATTTTAATTTGTGTTGTAGACACGTAAACAATTTCTAAATAATAGTTATATGAATTTCAAAAATAGGTATTTTAAAGATATTTTTAGATATATAGGGTTTTGCGTTTCTGTCTGACAAATAAAACGGTATATTTTTTAAGTAGAAAACCCTGTATTTTACTTCAGTTTTAGAATGCTTTAGTAATACTGTATTTAACCCTAGAATTTTATTAACAAATATTGCAGGGTTGCCAATAAATTAATTTTTTTATGAAATTAGAGAATGATTCAGACCCCAAATTAAATTATCATTATTTAGGTAGGTTTAAAATAATTTCAAATTTTTTTAAAATGTAGTAATAAGATACTAAGCTAACAAATAGTGATAATAGAACTGGATTATTTTATACAGTGTGTTTTGAAAAACAAGTCTTAAATATGGCAAATCCAAGTTAAATTTATTTAATTTTTTTCAAATGCCACACCCTGTTTATTATTTAAGCAAAAAATTCCTTATAAATTAACATATCCAACGATACCAATAAGTTAGTCAATAACACATATACAGGGTGTCCCATTAGTGCGTAATTGATCAATAGCAGTTTTATAATAGAAAATACGAAAAAAATTAATATAAAAGTTGTATGACCATATTTAACAATTATTTATAAATATACAGGGTAATCCATAAACGATTGTCTGACCAAACCTATACATTTTTAAAGCAAAACACCCTGCAGGTAGTTATACATATTTGACTGTTTTCACATCGTCGAACATTAATTTCAATTTTATTCATTTGCTATGTTGTATATAGGGTGTGTCAAAATGGTTACGGTTTTCTTAATTTTAGAATGGAACACCCTATATGTTATGCCACCAATTAATATAATATTCCATTGAAAAAAATTTAAACATTTGTAACCTCGCGTGTTGACACACCCTATATATAACATAGCAAATGAATGAAGTCAATTAAAATTATTTGACGACGTGAAAACAATCAAATATGTATAACTACCTGTAGGGTGTTTAGATTTAAAAATGTATAGGTTTGGTCAACATCTCGTTTATGGACCACCCTGTATATATAGGAATAATTTTAAAATATGGTCATACAACAATTATATTAATTTCCAATAATAAAACAGCTATCGATCAATTACGCATTGATGGGACCCTCTGTATATATGTTATTCTCTAACATGTTAGTATCGTTGGATATGAAAATTTATAAGGAATTGTATGCTAAAATATTATATCGGATGCTGCCTTTGAAAAAATAGAGTAATTTGACTTAAAAGTAACCATATTTAAGACACATGTTTCAAAACACTCGCTATAAAAGAATCCAGCACTATTACTACTATTCGTTATCTTAATGTGCTATAAGTCAGTGTATTAAACAATTTTGAAATCAATGTAATCCTACCTAAATTATGATAATTTAATTTGGGGTCTGCATCATTCTCTAATTTTATAAAAATTGAATTGCTTGGTAGACCTGTAATATTTTTTTAAATTATTCTAGGGTTAAATACAGTATTACCAAACCATTCTAAAATTGAAATAAAATACATGTTCTATTTTAAAAATATGCCAAGTAAAAATGTAACATCCTGTATATATCCAAAAATATTTTTAAAATATGTATTTTTTAAATCCATATAACTTTTCTTTGAAACATGTTTGCGTGTCTTTACCATAAATTAAAATATTGAACAATTACGCACTAATGGGACATACACATGGGTACATACACATAGCAGTCAACGTGTTAACTCAGAAATAAGATTCCTTATAAAGATAAAATAACATTCAGAAGAAGAAAGCAAAGACCGCCAATATTACGTGCGTATCATACAATGATGCCAGGTCATTCGAATTTAATTTAGACCGGAATGCAATAAAGTTCCTTCCCTTTCCTGCATTTCACAATTATATATTTCACCCACTTTAAAATCAAATTCGTCCTAGAAAGAATTGTGAAATTATCGTATAAATCGATAATCTGGCAACGTGGTCAACACTTGTTCATACACAGGCAAAATCAATCGATAATTTGGAACTAAACGAGACAAATATATATGAAAATCACGAAACAATAAAAGACGGCATACAGCTGTATCACTGTTTCAAAAATTGGTACCTCTAAACAATCATTTACCTATTAAAACCATCTCTAAAACAGAGTAGCTACATTGTTTTTACGATGACATCTTCTTAAAAATAGATGAACTACATGAACTATACACAATTACAGGAATTCATAGAAAATTTGACAAATAAATTTATCAAATATTTGTTAATCGTATTTCCAGTTAGATTTGAAAAATACGCAATAAAATTTGGAAATATTTTGGCGGGATACTTGGAAAAATATGTAGAATGAAATCTCCTACTTTTTAGCCTCTGATTTTAAAATCACTTTTTATGATTATTTTTTTAAATTCAGTGTATAAACAGGACAAATAAAAAATAGGAGATTTCATTCTCCAAACCTTATACTTTAAGCTTGTAGAAGATTCATTTTAATACATTTAGCGGGATTTAAATGCAATCGGAAATGGTGAACCCTTGCTTCTTATATGAAAAATACAGTGATACTGCGGCCTTAAGACTCGGGTTTTATAGAAGATACATTCATGAAAGTTACAGAGATGGACAAAAAATTCATTCTTGTGATGCGTAGTTGTCATATCTTTATTTCAACGAAAATTATAGTTACGGCCATTTGAGTTAAAAACGGCAGAATTATTAAATCGATTTGACATATAAGAACATTAACATGACATAAGAAAAGTTGAAAATAATATCATTTTGGATTTAACTCTCTATATTTTTTTAATATCTATAAGCATATTTGAATAAAAAATAATGAATGAAACACGGACGAAAAGTGTATTTTCGTACTCCTCGTAGTCGTCCGAAAATATCAACTTTTCGTCCTATAACATAAAGTACTATTATTTTATATATTAATTTGTTTTAAATTTTATTTTTAGGGTCATGATACAACATCCATGGCTTTATGTTACGCTTTAGTAACTTTAGCAAACGAACAAAAATATCAGGTAGGTGAATCATACTATCTACTGATTAAAACAAAATAGAATCGTAATTAAAAAAAAATCTGATGTGTCCAACACATGACTTTCCTATCTAGTTATTATAGGCTTTTTCCGGTTATTTTGTACAACCTATTGCAGCACCTCTATAAATGTTTAAAGGATAAACTAAATATATACATTTTCCACATACATTTAACTCGAAACATTTTTCTCTAGATAACGAAAATACGGAAAAATTTAAATTTAGCACTTTTCCTTCAATTTTTCCAAAACGGTCCATTTTAGAAAAATCATATAAAAAACAAAAATTATAGAGATCGATATCATAAATAACTTTTATTTAAACAATTTTCCTAAAAATTTGAATTTTATTACATTTTGTCAAATTTCTCGAATACGGACCATTTAAAAAAAAATTGTATAAAACCAAAATTATAGATAATAATATTGTAAGTAATTTTTATCTGAACAATTTTCTTCTCCAAACATAAATAACAGATATATTCCATAAAATATAAGAACGGCCTCCCATAAAGTACCCCCCCAGATGTTCCAAATCTGTCCAAAATCTAATCATTTCACGTCAGGCCGAAATAAACCTTAAGTTTAAAATTTAATGTTTTTTTCTTTATCCGTTTTTGAGTTTTCTTCAAAGTTCGAAATTTACACATTTTCTCAAATATCTCGAATACGGTCCATTTTAGAGAAATTATGTATAGAATAAAAATTATAGAGAATTATATTACAAACAACTTTTATTTAAACAATTTTTATAAAAAATTATTTTTTTTACATTTTGTCAAATTTCTCGAATACGGATCATTTTAGGAAAATTTTGCATAAAACAAAAATTATAGATAATTATATTAGAAGTAACTTTTATTTAAAGAATTTTCTTTTCCAAACGTAAATAACAGATATATTCCATAAAATATAAAAATGACCACCTATAAAGTACCCCCCCAGATGTTCCGACTCTGCCCAAAATCTAATCAGCTCATTGGACGCTGAAACAAAGCTTAAGTTTAAAATTTGGTGTTTTTCTGTGTATCGGTTCATGAGTTATGCGTTATACAGACACACACACACACACACACACACACACACACAGACACACACACACACACACACACACACACACACACACACACACACACACACACGCACGCACGCACGCACGCACGCACGCACACACACACACACACACACACACACACACACACACACACACACACACACACACACACACACACACACACACACACAACACACACACACACACACACACACATACACACACACACACACACACACACACACACACACACACACACACACACACACACAGACATCATCGCGAAAATAGTCAAAACGGATTCAGGGGACCTCAAAACGTAAAAATCCGTCGAAAACTCGAGGTCGAAAAAAAATCATGATTCCTATACTTTCCTTATATCTGTATACAGATAGGAAAGTAATTACATAGATGTTGATACGAGCACTTCATTAGTTTCCGTTAATTATGAATAATTTACATTTTAAGCTACAAATTATGTTAAAAAATAAGACATGTTTTGTGAAAAAATGCATTCGCAAACTTTTCAACAAAAACAAAAAGTAACATTAAGTTAACAAAAAACTAACTACTAAAGCATTTTAATTTTAAAAATTATTCATTGTTTTACATGTATTCTTAATTACAAAATTAATAGCTCTTAAAATAGAATAATTATTGTTCATTATATCTTTATTTATTTTTAATCAAAATACTGTTGACAAGAAAGTTTCACTGTTCGCAAACTTGT